AACTATATATATATATATATTTTTTGAATGAAAAAAAAAAATTTAATTACATTTTTAAGAAATTTAATAAAATAATTATTTAATATTAATATTAAAAATTTATTTTAAATTACTTTTATTTTTAAAGTTAAATTATTTATTTACAATAATTTAGGATAATAATAAGTATATTCAGAAATTTTTCTCTCTTTTAAAAATAATTAAAAATTTTATCTTAACATAAATTTTATATTTTTTTAATTAAATATATTTTATTTTGTGGAAAAATGCACGAAAATTTTATTTTTAATATAGAATAAACATGATTTATAATAAATGCTATTTTACTATTTCTAGTTTGATATAAGAAAATAAATTACATTTTATTATTGAGAGCAATCTATGAAATAAAAGATTATTATATGAAATACACATAATATATATATATTCTTTTTATTAATTTTTCATGTTCTCTACATAATTGTTTATATTTTCTATTTTTAAATGAATAAACGAATGCCATATTTATTATAAATAATTTAGTATAAATATGAAATATATCAAATATGTTATTATAAAAACAATATTTAAATTCTGTATTTCATAAATAATATTTACAATTATTTTATTTTATTGTGTTATACTAAGAAAATATTTTTTAAATTTAAAATATATAATTCAAATTTATTATAATAATTAATTAATTAATTAATTAAAATTATTATATCTTCTTTTATAAAAGAAATTTTTGTAAATTAATATATTTGTTTAATAAACTTATAATCTAATAATCTCGTAAATTTAATGAATTTAGATTTAATTTCTTCATGCAAATGAAGTAATATCACAATTTATGTTTTTATAGAATTTAATAATTTTTTCTTATTTAATAGTTATGTACATTAAACTGTGAAAAATTTAGCAATTTTAATTATTTATGTTTGACATTTAATATTACAATGTATGTGTGTGTTTGAACATGTATGCGAATACATGAATATATTGTGAAATATTTATCAATATTTAAAACGAATTATATTAAATATTATTAACATATAAAATTTATCATACTAATTTTTCTTATAAAAATTTATATTTATACAGGTAAAAAATCTTATAAAGCTTATCATTGTATACATAATTTTGCAAATCATAAATATTTAAATATTTAAAGTATATTATAAACTATATAAGGTACATGTAAAATTTTTGCCAATTACAAAATATAAGCCTAACTAAATCCTTAATAAGTAAATGTATTTGTACCTACATAAATGTACAATATATGTTTATAAATATATAAACAAAGAAAAACTGTAACTAAATTATTTTTAATACATATATGTTTTAGAATCCACAATAATTGTGTAAGTCCAAATATTCACACTTATTATACATGTGTATACATCAATATAAAGTATTTAAAATATGAGTGCTTCATGATAATTGAGTAGGGTTATACAACATATTTTTTAAATACCAAATATGTAGTTTTAACTAATGTGAACAAGATTTATAATTTAATAGAACAAATATATAAAAATATAAAAATTTATAATTGTCAGAGTATATAAGTAACAAAATTGTTCAAATAATGAAAATTATTTCTAGTATATCAAATGAACTTTGTAAACAAAACTTTGTAATATTATTCGAGCAAACATTTCAATTATTATTTCAAATTTAAATTTATATTTCTAATATTTGAAAAATAACTATGTATCATAATCTTCATCCAGAGTAGCAGTGTGAGCAAAATTTGATGTTGGTTGATTATTTGTATTTACAGTTGATGTATTTGTACTTAAATTCATAGGATTAACTTCTGTATAAAAATTAGGTTGACTAATTTGAAATGATGCAGGCACAGATATTTGAAATTTTGGAACTTGAGAGATAGTTGTATTTTTAACCATTTCATTAACAGCACCTGAATTATATATTCCTATTCCTTCATTATCTTTTGAATTTTTATGTTCTATATTTATTTCAGTAGTTAATCCCATTTGCTGCTTCTGAACTCTATAAAAATATAATTCATTTAAGATTTACAAACATCAAATGAGTTATTTAATATTTACCCTATATCTGAATGCTGTATTGTAGATGTATTTGATATATTTGTATTTGTATTTATTGGAGCTGGTGTTAATGGTGGTGTAGGCACTTCTTCATCAGGTCCTGATACATCTGGTAAAGATTTTACTAAATCCTTTAAAAAATCAAAGCGACTTTCTGATAAAATACATTGTTTCCTATAAATAAATTTAATTTAAAAATGATCAATGAACAAATTCAAATATACAACATCAAATAATCAAATTAATTAATTTTAAAAAATCTTACTTACATATGAGATGGACTTAAAGTTTTGGCATTTTTGGCACTTGTGATTTCCATGGTTTTTGTAAGTAATGAATGTACAAATAATTCTAATGTTCTAGGTATATAAATAGTTAAGAAATTTATTTTCAAAATAAAGATATTATAATCGCTTAAAGATCTATAACACAAATAACAAAGATATTAGATTATATAAATAATTAATTAAAATTATTTTTATTGTTAATTTAAAAAGGATATAAATTATAATTGGCACTGCTTGTGCAACTTTTCCAACTTCTTCATCAGTCTGCATAATTTTTTTTATTCTACCCTAAGTGCATTTGTAAAGATAGGTTAGGCATATATATTAAAAATTATTATATATAACTCTTTTTTATTTTGTATTTCTTCATAATTTAAATATGGTTACAAATAAATTACAATTGTTTTTATTAAAATTATAAACATGTAATTTATATGAAGTGTCAATATCGTCGTGAAAAATTTTTCCAAACTGTGTAGAGTAATTCAATACTCACTGCTGGAAAACGTGCATTATATTTTTTCTTTTTACTTGGCATTATCACAAAACTATTAGTTTCTCACACTATTATTCGATTTGTAAATTATGTTTAAATAAAATAAAGAATAAAACTTTAGAAAAAAAAACGTTTATATTGTATTAGCAACAATCGAGGTGTTCCGAAACTTGACAGGTATCTGTATAATCTGTATTTTCAATAAACCATAAAATATTTTATGTTCGTAAATATAACACTTGACACATACAGAACAACAAATATTAAATACTACTATGTGTTCTAAAAATATTTTAAAATGATATATAATTTACAATTGTAATAAATGAATTACTTGTAATTAATTGTAACTAATGAAGTATTATATATTCTTTTTTTTATTTATTATAATAATGATAATATATTTTTTAAAATAATTTATGTTTATTGATTATATATAAAACTATTAAAGATCCAATAATGGAAGATGATTATTTCTGTAACTTATTTTAAGTTCAAATCATGATGTTAAGCTTGACAACATCGCTTTTTCTAGTATAAAAGTCCTATTTTTAATATTATGAATAAATAAAAAAAAATAAAATGTAAAAAAATTATAAATATACATAATCATGTAATATATATTCAATATAAATATTATAACTATTATAATTGTAATAAATCAAAATATACCAATTTTTATGTAATAAAAAAAGTATATAAATTTTTTAAAAAAATTATAGTAATACTTACTTAATACTATTTAAAGTTTTTACATTTTACATTTTATTTTTGCATTAAACAAATATTAATATAAAATAAATTAAATTTTTTTTTTAAGTATAATTTTTAAAACTGAATAATCAAACATAAAATTAAATTAGTATTTATAATTGAAAAAGAAATAAGATTTCTAATAAATTTCTATTAGATGAATAAATTAAATAAAAATGAATATCAAAAAAAATTTATAAGAAAAGTTATTATTAATAAAATATTTGCAAATATAAAAATCAAAAGATAACATTATTAATTAAAACTTTAAGACTTATAAAATTTGAAAATCTGAAAAAGAAAGTTATATGTATAATATGAGTCATAGTGTATAATTACTACTACTATATTACCATTACTATTACTACTATTACTAATATTACTACTAATATTAATACTGCTATTACTGTAACTATTTTTTAAATAAATTATTTATAAAAAATATAATATATATAAAAAATTAAATCAATTAATATAAATGTAGAAAATACTTGTGTTATATTATTAAATTATAATCGTTTTATTGCATTTTTATTTATATAATTTAGGATATATATTAATATAAATATTTCATAAAATCGCGAAAAAGCGCGGAAATAAAAAATAGTAATTTCTTGATTCTATCTAAATGAAAATTCAAACATTGTTGCCAAATTTACTTTCATAGTTTAAAGTAGACTAGTAATCCTTATAGTTATCTTTACAGAATAATATAATTTTAGGAACGATTATTTTTTTATAAATTAAATTTAAAACTTTATCAAATTGTCGTTAAAATTAATTTTTTTTATTAATTTGTTTTTAGCTATATTATATAATATAAAGTTTTATATTTGTATTATTTTATTTTATTATATTATTTAAACAATTTTGTGTAAATTTATGTAATAATTTTTACTTGTATATTGATAAATATTAAATGAATAATATTATAAAGATATATTCTTAATTTATAATTATAAAAATACATTTTAATCTGAAATTGACAATTTTAATTAATAAGTTGAATTTTATAATGGCAAATTTAAATGATGAGAGAATTGTCGTTTTAATAGATATGGATTGTTTCTTTTGTCAAGTTGAAACAAAACTTCAACCACAATATGCTGGAAAACCCCTTGCTGTTGTGCAATATAATCAATGGCAATTCGGAGGGTAAAATATAATGTTTAATATAAATTATGATTAAATAATTGAATTTTAGATAATAATAATTGATAATATTTTTGAAACAGAATAATTGCTGTTAATTATGAAGCAAGAGAATATGGTGTTACAAGACACATGAGAGGAGAAGAAGCTAAAGAAAAATGTCCAGATCTTATTTTAGTTAGTGTACCATGCCTTCGTGGAAAAGCTGATATATCAAGGTACATAAAAAATTATAAATTTAAAGTTTAAAGTTTTTATAGAATATACAAATTTAAAAAATTTTATATATCCATACAGATATAGAAGTGCTGGTCGTGAAGTTATTAATATTATAAAAGAACATTGTAATATTATAGAGCGAGCTAGTGTGGATGAAGCATATTTAGATATTACTGATATGGTTCATAAAAGAATGTCCACAAATTTAAATTTTTCAGATTTAGCAACACAACTTCCAAACACATTTGTAGTAGGATATTCAGAAATTGGAAAGAATAATGAAGGTAAAAATATATATATATTTTTATGACTACATATAAATAAATAAATATATATATATATATATATTTATAAATATGTATATATTGATAATATATAATATGGATTTTTAGAAGAAAGAAGCAAAGGCACAAAAATTTGGATAAAAAATGTTTTTGAAGAATTTGAAGATATAGAAGCACAAAAACTTGCAATAGCAGGATTAATAGTTGAAAAAATAAGAGCTGATATATTTGATAAAATAGGTTTCAAATGTTCTGCAGGTATTGCACAAAATAAGGTAAAAAAAAAATATTATTTTATATATTATGTTATATATTATAATATGTTATAATATGTTAAATGAAAAATATGTTGAATGTTAATATTGTATTTAATTAATTAGAAGAAATATATTATTATTTTATATTTTTAGATATTAGCTAAATTGGCATGTGGATTACATAAACCAAATCGACAAACAATATTACCTGCAGCTGCAATATTAACATTATATTCAACATTACCAATAAAAAAAGTTAGAAATCTTGGTGGCAAATTTGGAGATATTGTTATTGAATCTTTGAATTGTAATGTTATGAGTGACTTATTGCAATATTCATTACAATATTTGCAAAAACGTTTTGATGAGAAAACAGGGTGCGTTTGTAATTTTTTTAAATTATAACTTTGATAAAAAAATAATTGTACAATATCTACTTTAAATTATTATATTATGTTAATTCATTTATTTAGATTGTGGTTATATAATATTGCTAGAGGCATAGATAATGAACCTGTTAGTGTACGATTGGTATCAAAATCAATTGGAGCATGTAAAAAATTTCCAGGAAAACAAGCTATAACTTCATTGAATATGGTAGTATAAACTGAAAAGTGCACAAACAAAAATAGTGAATAATTTTTTTTATATAATATGTGAAATTTTTTTTACAGTTAAAACATTGGATTAGTGAATTATCGGCAGAAATTTGTGAACGTCTCGAACAAGATCTTATGGAAAATGAGCGACGCGCAACATTAGTTACAATATGTTATCATTATTATCAAAACAAAACTACAGTATCTCAATCACGTTCATATACTTTAAATTCATATAAACCAAAAAATATGACAATTCGTTGTATGAATATTGTGTCTAAATCAACACAATGTCCAATTGCATATTTAGGTATATCAGCTAGTAAATTTATAACAGCTAAAGGTAGTGAAAATTTTCGAAATTTCTTTAAATCAAATAATTCAGAATATCATCAGAAAAATATTCAAATAAAAAATATGAAGATAGAAAATACATGTTCAGTAGTCAATATTACTAAATCAATAAGAAATGATTTAAGTGTAGATAAAATTAATTCATATTCTAATAGTAATAAAAATAATAATCTATTAAATAATAAACTGAAAAATATTGAAAAGAAATCTAAAAATATGCAATTAAGCAAACAAATTTCTGATACAAAAATAGATTATTCTCCTACTTCTAAAAAATTAAATAATTTAATTACTTCATTAAATGAACGAGATAAAACAAATGTATTTTATGAAACAAAAATAAATTTGAATGATTCCTTGAATCAAAATGATTTTAAAGAATCATTTTTTGTAAATATTTTTAATTCAAAAGAAAGTGATTTAAAAGATATGTTTACACGTAATGTTGAATTAATTGAATTAAATGATAATATAAATTTAAATATTGAATTAGAAAAAATAAATATAAATAATATAAGAAATGAAAATAATTTTGATGAAAAATTGGATTTAAATATAAAAGAGAACAATTGTAAACAATATATAAATAATGAGATTGAAAATAGACCAATTATAAAATTAAATCAAAATAATGAAATAAATAATACCCAAAATATTACAAAATTAGAAGAAATATTTCCTGATTTAAATAATATTGATCCCACTGTACTTGCATTGTTACCATTGGATTTACAAAAAGAAGGAAAATTATATATGAAAACAAAAGATAATAAAAATAATACAAAAAGTATTTTAATGAAAACATCAAAGACAAAAAATAAATTTAAGATAAATACTTCAAAAACGAAAAGAAAAAATGATATTTCTAATTTTTTAATAAAAAAAAATTCGTCTAATCTAATTCCTTCTAAATAATGTTTAAAAAAAAAATGTTATCAAATGATATCTGTCAAAATATCAGAAACATTGCGATTTTCATATGGCTGAAAATCTGCAATAGAATATAAATAATACATTGTTAAATGATATGAATATAAAAAAAAAAAAATACTAGTGATTTAAATATAAATTTCATTAAATGTCAATCGAATTAATGTCAACATAAATATTTTAAAATCGTGAAGATTTAATTCATAATTTTTTTTGTATAATATGAATTGATATATTATAGATTATATATTGTAATGAAATAATAATAAAGAAATAACATTTTTTGTTTTTATATTTTATTTCTATTTTTCATACAAATTTTCTTATGTTTCTTTTATATTATATTGTATACAATATACAGATTCAGAATTTAAGTATTTTTTTTTATTGAATTAATTATGATATAAATTATTTTGTAAATAGAAAATAATACTGTGATGATATAAAATGTTTAAGTTATATTGATTTATAATAATATAATAAATTATATTTAATTATATTTATATTAAAATGAATTTATATAAATTAACGTATTATGATAATTATATATATTTTGGAAATATTTAAAATATTTTAAATTTAATAATAATTCTATATTTTTTTATAATTTTAATATTTAATTTGACATTGATAAGTTATATATGTATATAATTAATATTTAAAAGTCGATTTGTACTTAAACAATCAAGTTTTGCAAATTCAGTTTTTACGCTTTCTTTATATCGTTTCATTGAATCTTGAAATGTAGAAATAGTTGTTTTTATTGCATCATTAGATATTTTTAGTAATTGAAATGCTATGAAAAAAAAGAAAAAAACAATGATATTAAATATCTAATAATAATATCTTAATTTTAAATATCTTTTAATAATATCTGAAATATTATAAAATTGTACCTTGTTGTTTATCGATTTCTTCTTTTTCTATAGTTTTTATTAATTTATGCATAAGATTTAATAATTTTAATTGTTTTGGTGGCAAAGCTTTTTGAGATGATATTTTTCCGAATTTTTTTTCATATTTTTTTATGTATACATCTAATTTTAAAATTGCTGCCTTTTCATTTTGAGAATGACATATTTTTTTATAACATATATTTTCATTCATTATTATTTTTAAATCATTTCATTTCATAAGAAATATGAAATTCAATAAAAAGTATAGACAAGAAAAGCAAATAGTATGAGATAGATAAAAATAGATTAAAAAATGAATGTTATTTTAGAGTGCCGTGATAAAACAAAAATTTAGATAAGGAAAGTAACTAGCAAAAAAATAAAGATAGAATAAGAATTGATTGTCAGTGCCATCAACTTCCAAAAAAATCTCTACAAAAATAAAAAATAAAATATCCAATGATACTGATTTTCTTATTTTAAATTTTAATATTATTAATTATTAATTATTAATATTATTAATTATTAATTATTATTATTTTAAATCCTAATTGACTTTATCCTAGTTATAGATATTATACATGCTTAAAAAATGACATTAATCAATTTTTATTCTATCTTTGTCTTTCTTCTACTATTTATTTTTTTTATTTTAGAAATGATATTATTTTACGATATTTTAGAAATAATATCGATTCTTGAATTTTTACTATTTTTATTTCTATTCTCTCTTTATTATTTTTATCTATTTTTTATCTATACTTACTCTACAAAATTCATATAGACAACTTAAGAGGATTCCGATATTTGATTAATTTCATTATTTTTTAAAATAAAAATATAAATACATATAATATTAAAATACAATACATATAATACAAATACATAATATTAAAATACAATATTATACAATATAATACAAATATATATAATATTAAAATACAATACATATAATACAAATACATATAATATATTAAAATAATATGAAAATGATATGATGTGTGATATATATATACACATACATATATACATATAATTGTAATAAAAATACATAAGTCCATGTGTTAAAATGCAATTTGATTTTGTAAAATCAGGATTTCTATTTAAAATATAAATCCATTAAATTGCAAAATAACATTGTAACAAATTATAAGAATGCCATATCACTTACATGCATTTATTCTAAATGCATATTAGTGAATGGAATAAACAAATTTATAAACAATATCAATTACAAAAAATTTATTTATATAAAATTTATAATAATATACATATACTTTGGATATTACAATGTTTATGAATATTTGAACAATTATAGAATATATATAGAATATGAACAAATATATAATTTAAAAAGACTAAAATATTTATTTATATATATTTAAATATATTTAAGTATTTAAGTAGCATTATATCCTTTTTTCCATACAGTATCTTTAAGATATGCACCTATCATAGGATTATTAAGCATTGTTTCTACAATATTTTTAAATCCTAATTGACTTGCTAACACATATTTACATTCCACATCTGATAATTCAGAAATTAATATTTTCATATTATTTGTCATAGTATGTGTAATACTCTTTTCTAACCTATATCTATAATAAAGATTAATAAATGGTAATTAAAATGATAAGAAGTTTACAAAACTTTTTAAAATAATAATTAACTTGCCTGCGTACACAATCTTGTACAAGACTTGGAGTGAGTTTATTTACAGTTATGAAATCTTTTAAATATTTTGTTTCTCCATTTAATATACAATGATTATAAATCAAATTAGCCCAATCTACATGATGATTATAAGCATGAACAATAATAAAACTTTGAGAGAAGCTTAAATTATGACATAATACTTTATCGATATCTTCAGGTTTTAAATTAAGTATACAAATTACTTGTTGATTGTAAGATGTTGTATTAAAAAGTGAAAGTTGAAGAGTAACTAATTGTACTTGGTCAGAACATTGACTAGCAAGATTTAATTTATTAGCCTGTAATTCATATATATTCAGATGAAAAATAAATTTTTAAATTTAAATTATTTTAGAAAAAAAATAAATGATATTTTACCTGTAAATAATATTCCGTTGCATGAGTATAATTAGTTATAATTAATTGTAATTGTTTTTGAATATATTCAGTTTTAATAAATTTTATTTCATGAACATTACTTTGTAATTTATTATATTCTTTTGTAGCATTTGATATTATTGTTTTGATTAAATCTTTTGCTTCATTTTCCCACATAAGTGCTAGTTCATGATATAATCGAAAATGTAAGGCTACCAGAGTAAAAAGCTCTTTATTTTCAGGACAATGATGTTTAAGAAAATCCAAAAGTGC